AGGAGGAAGTCTGGATTTACACAAATGAACGAAGACCACCAGAAGTGGTAACTACAGAGCATCCCCCTAACAAGAGCGAAATACACATTCTTCTCAAGGGCAAAGGGAACATGTACTAAGATGGCCCAGATTCTGGGCCACAGTACAAATCTTAATAAATTTAAAGGGATTCAAGTCATACGAATTATGTCCCATGACTATGAGGAGATTAAAATAGAAACCAATAAAAGAAAGCTCCCTGGAAAATCCCCAAATATTTGGAAACTAAATACCAGACTTCTAAATTACCCATGGATCAAAGAAAAAAAAAATCAGAAAAGAAATCAGAGATAATTCTGAACTGAATTTTTTTTTAAAACCACACCCAAAATATATCAGAATTTGTGAGACTGTGCTAACAGAGTACTTTGGAGATTTATGGAAGTAAACAGCTACCTCAGAAAAGAAGAAATGCCTCCCATCAATGAGCTCAGTTTCCACTGCAAGACACTAGGAAAAAAAAAATTAAACCCCAAGTAATGAAGAGAAAGCAGGTTACACCAATCAGAAGAAAACCAAGGAAACAGGAAAGAGAAAAACAATGAAACCAACTACTGGTTCTTTCAGACATCAACAAAATTGACAAACCTCTACACAGATCCATTACGGGGGGGTGGGGTGGACACGAATTACCAATAACAATAATGAATTATGTGACATAGCTACAGATCCTACAGCGGGTGAATAAACACAGTATTATGAGCAATTCTAAGCAACCAAGTTGACACTTTAGATGAAGTGGACTGAATCTTTGTTAAGACCAAAGTAACAAACTCCCTCAGGAAGAAACAGACAACCTGAGTAGCCCTACATAACAAAACAACTGTAGAGCCACCTGGGTGGCTCAGACGGTTGAGTGTCCAGCTTCCAGCCTCGGCTCAGGTCTTGGTGTCATGGTTGTGGGTTCCAGCCTCGTGCTGGGCTCCGCGCTGGTGTAGAGCCTACTTACAAACAAAAACTGTAGCTGAAAACCTTCCCTCACACAAAACCCTAGGCCCAGATGGCTCCACCTCTTCATCTAAAAGAGAAATGATAACCTCTTCCAAAAAAATCGCATTGGAGAGAATACATTGACAACTACAGACCAACATCCCTCATGAACACAGGTATGAAAATTTTATGCAAAATTCTGGCCAACCTAAATCCAACAACTAATCAAAAGCGTATTACATCATGACCCAGTGAAGCTTATCCCAGGAATGTAAGGTGCACTGAATACATGAAAAATCATCCTAACACTAAAAGAAAAGTATGATCATTGCCACAGATGGAGAAAAAACCATGACAAATTCCACCAACCACTCCTTAATAAAAACTCTTGGTAAACATAACAGAAGGGCACCTCATGAACCTGATAAAGGTCATGAAACCAAACATAAAACCAAAACTAACATTACACTTAATGGTAAAATGGAATGTTTCTCCCCTATGATCAGTCAGATGTCTGCTCTCATGATCTGTTCACCTTTGTTTTTAAAATTTTTTTTCAAGATTTTATTTTTAAGTAATCCCTACACTCATCATGGGGCTTGAACTCACAACCCTGTACCAAGAGCCACACACTCCACTGACTGAGCCAGCCAGGTACCCCTCTGTTCACCTTTGTAATGATGGCTCTATCCAGGGCAATCAGGCAAGACAAAGAAGAGGCAAAGAGACGGAAAGACAGACAGACAGACAGACAGAGGTACCAGATTGGATAGAAAATAAAGCTGAATGTATTTACAAATAACATGACTGTCTATGTAGAAGATACGATGGATTCCACAAAAAGTTCCTACAACTAGTGAGCTTAACATGTTTCCAGAGAGTATCAATTTACAAAAATTATATTTCTATATACTGTAATAATTCCAAATCAAATTTTTTAAAAAATCACAACAGCACCAAAAAAATATAAACTACTTAAGGATAATTATTTAAATACAAAAGATGTGGAAGACCAGTACACTGAAAAGTAAAAAATACAGCCAAGAAAAATTAAGGAAGACCTTACCAAGCAAGTGGAGACAATACAACAGCTCTTGCGGACCACATTAAAATGTCGTTTTCCCCCAACAAATCTATAGATTCAATGCAATCCCAATAAAAATCTCACCATTTTGGAGACACTGACTAGGTCATTATAATTGTATGGAAATGAAAAGGAACTAGAATAGCCAAAATAATTCTGATAAAGAACAAAACTGGAAAGCTACCACCACCTGCTTTTAAGAATTACTTACAGTAATCACAAGTGTGGCACTGTTGTGTACACAGATTTAACAGATGGGTGGAAAAGAAAGATACAGTCCCAGAGATAAATTGACACATGTAGGGACAAATGATCCGGATGACCACACAAAGACAGCTTAGTGGAAAAGGGGGAGTCTTTCCAGCAAATGGTGATATAACAGTTGCATACCTACACAAGTAAAAAAAAACAAAAACAAAAACAAAAACAAACAAACAAAACTCTGCAGCTGTACCTCACACTATATACAATTAACTTGAAATGAGCCACAGACCTTAAAAATGTAAAATTTAAAATAATACAACCTCTGGGAAGAACACCTTTGTGAGTCTGGATTAAGCACAGATTTCTTAGGGACAAAACCAAGAGCAAGATCCATAAAAGAAAAAAATACCTGATAAAACTAGACTATCTACCAAAATTTAAAACTACTACTTTTCAAAAGATACTGTTAGAACAAAAGACAAGCCACAGACTGAGAGAATGTATTTGCGATTATAAATCTGATAAGGACTTACATCCCAAAATTCAGTAATGAAACAACCCAACACAAAAATGGGCAAACACCTGAACAGACCCTTCACCAAAATGGCAAATGCATATGGTAAGATGTTTGACACTATTAGTCATTAGGAAATACAAATTAAAACTACAATAAGATTCAACTACCTTCCTTTTGAATGGCTAAATTAAAGGACCGATCACATCAAGTGTTGATGAGGACATGGAGCTGCTGGGGCTTCAATCCCCAGCGACACGCTTACAGAGGGCGCCATGACGGACCACAGCTCTACTCTTTTTTTTTTTTTTTAAAGATTTTATTTATTTATTTGACAGAGAGAGAGAGACGGCGAGAGAGGGAACACGAGCAGGGGGAGTGGGAGAGGGAGAAGCAGGCTTCCCGCTGAGCAGGGAGCCCGATCCCAGGACCCTGGGATCATGACCTGAGCCGAAGGCAGACGCTTAACGACTGAGCCACCCAGGCACCCAGCTCTACTGTTTCTTAAGAAGATAATCTGACCGGATGATCCATCTATTCCATTCTTATGTACTTCCCCAAGAGAAACGAAAACATACTTCTATACAAAGTCTTGCCTTATAAATGTTCACAGAAACTTTATTGGTAATAGCCCCAACCGGAAATACCCAAATATTCCTCACCAGGTGAATGGAAAAATAAACTGTGGCATAGGATGGGATGGAATACGGCTCAGAAATAGAGAAATGACCTATGAATGTTATGACATCAGTGAATCTCAAAATTAGTAAGCCAAGTAAAAGAAGCCTGACAGAAAGAGCACATGCCATAAAAATCTATTTATATAAAAGTCTAGAAAATGCAAACTAACCTAGAGTGACAGAAAGCACATCAGTGGTTGCCTGGGGCAAGGACAGGGCACGGGAAGCTTTTAGTGGTGACAGGTATGTTCATGATCTTGATGGTATTACAGGTATATACACATCTTACCAAATTTGGTAGAGAAATCAGTGTGGGAGTGGAGGAGTGAGCAAATCAGCTCTACCACGCATTCAACACTGCTCCAAACCAGGGAAAATAAAACTTAAGAGAAAAGGTGGGATGCCCTTCCAATACGTGATGATTATTGTACATCAATGTACTGCTCTATACCCTCAAAAATGAAGAGGAGGAGAGTGCTCGGGTCTGAGAGAAAACAGAAGGCGCCATAGGGCTGCCCAGGAGCTCAGCCGCACCGGGCCCCATGGCAGCACTGTGGGGCTGTGCCGAGGGCCAGCTGCGAGTTTGTAATCCCAAACTCAAAACGACAGCGTTCCACACACTAGTTTGTTCAGCCACCGTCGATCCGTTCAGGAACAGGCAGGCACATGGGAGGCAGAGAACTGATGGAAGGAGGTAACCGAGAAGAGGCTGTGGGTGACACAGGCAGAGGCGGGAAGGAGGGCGGGAGGGACGAGTGCCAGCAGGCACCGCGAAGGCAAGGTCGTCACCGGGCTTGTCCTTTCAGGGAAAAACCAACATGGACACGCTGCTGTCCTATGGAAGTCTGTGGGCAACAGGTGCGAGAACGTGTGTTAACAGACTGTCTCCTGGTAAGACCAGCGCAGCAACACAGCGGGAAGTTGGGCCTTCCCTAACTCAAGTGTAGCTCCACATGCACCTGGTCTGCTCGATTAGCCAACTTCGGGCAGTTATTTCTCCCACTCAAGCTGCCCCATCCAGTCACTGATGATGCGAGTGTAGCCCACCCCACAGTCTGCTGGGGCTTTACACTATGGCTGGTCGTTTAGATGCAGGGGAACCAAACTCGAGGTAAGCCATCCGCGCCCATCACTCTGAGGTACTTCTATATCGGCCCAGAGCCTGGTCGCAAAGAGAACTGTTGCTTTCCCCCTGCTCTTTTTTTTCTTCTGAAAACAGCCTTAACTACTCCCTCCCTTTTTATGAAGAAGGACTTCAACACTAATGTTCCGTCTCTGCACTTTCAGAGACGACTCGCCCTCCAGTCCACCTTCCACTTCTCCCAATTAACCCAGACCCGCCTTTCAGGAACCGCTTGGATCTTCCACTCCCTGTGGCACCTTCCCGATCAGAACTCCTCATCTTCATGTCCACTTAAGAGGGAATTGCAAGTAGAATCAAAGGAAGCAATCAAAGGCACAGTGTTTAGCAAAAGACAACCCAGATTTTAAAAAGCAAAATGAAAAAGCTCACACTCTACACAAAAATGAATTCATAAAATAGCTTTACCAGTCTCACTATTTTCAGGTGAAGATTCATGTTCTGAGCGATCCAGAGCCAAAGTGCTCCCAGCGGTTTGGTTTGACTCCTGCAAATCTGATAGTGCCACATTCTCATGACTTTTGTCATCATCGCCATTGGCATCCAATCCTGTAATTAGGAATTTTATCCCAAAAGGCAGAATTAGAATAACTTTCTCTTAAAACAAAACAAAATAAAAGCTTACAGTTGCAGTTACTTCAATTTTTTAACTTGACTGTGACAGACCTCCTTGGCTCTTCAATACTGCAACAAACCACGACACAAATTTTAGTTAATAATCTTTTTTTCATTCTTTTTTTTTTTTTTTTAATTTTAAGTAGACTCCATGCCCATGGTGGGCCTTGAGCTCACAACCCTGAAATCAAGAGTTGCATGCTCTACTTACTGAACCAGCCAGGTGCCCCAATTAGCAATTTCTTAAAGATGGGTTAAATGGGAACAAAGACAAAGCCTTGAGAGCAAAGGTGCTCCTCATCACAATCATGCTCGTGACTCACCCTCCTGGCCGCAGTCTGTGCAAGGGCCCGACGACTCCTCCCAGTCTGCACTCACACCGCCATCCGCTGAGCTACCCGCTTCCAAATGCAGCACGGGAGTCCCCCACACTTTAGCATTAGGGTTTAGCTCCGAAACCTTGGCTGTCGGTACCTAGGGGAAAATGTGACAAACATTTGTATCCCAACTCCAATCAAACACAATTTTACTTATGAATTCATACATGAAACACATCTGTGTGACAGAATTAGGCCAGAAAGGTGGAGTTTTATTTACGTGTATGCTGGGGATAAAATGTGGTGCAAAGTAACAAAAGTTGGTATACCAAGCTCAGCTTCATTCACCATCAGGCTCCTTAGTTCCTACTAAGTGGAAGGCTCTCCAGAAACTGCACGTGAAAGATGAGCTCCCTGCCTTCATGGACATTCAGTAAGTAACTGGGGATCCAACTGTCATCTCTGTTCTAGACACAATTCACAGATTTACAAATCTGAATAGAATGTAGATGGATAAAATTCTTAAACAAATCTCAAACACTCATATAAGCAAAGGCTACAGACAACACAAGACCCTCGGAAGAACAAAGGTCTTCTAACGGGTCTGTCAGGCAGGGGCTTGGTGCTGCTTCTGCTTTGACCCTGCTCATGTCCAAGGCTCCTTTCCGCTCCAACATGCTTGGCACTTTTGCTCCCGATGCTGTTTGTCCACAACACCCTCCCAGGGTCCACACACTCACACCTTCATTTCCTTTGGGGATAGGTGAGCTCTTTTCTGGTGCACCTAACTACCCTGAATTTTCTTCTCTTGCTCACAAACCTCAAGTAGATCCCTGAGTCTAAAGAAAAATCAAAGTCTCTGGGGCAGCTGCTCCCCCAACTAACTCCAGTTCATTGTCACAATTCTGTCAGCAAACCTAGCCAAATAATTTTCCTTCGCCTTGATACCACCATGCAGAGGTCAGAGCTTCCTAGGAGAGGGACAAGAGTCCTGGTCCCAGGAGCTCTCAGGGAATGCCAGGCAGGAGCTCTGAACTGGGAGCAGCCTCCCTGCATGACCCCCAAGGGCAGATGTTACCCAATACTGTCTCCAGGTGTGAAAAGGGTCAGGAAATATCATGATGAGCCATCGAGGACATGTGTGGATTCATCACCTTTACAAGACAGAATAAATTCATTCTGGCTAGGGTGATTAAGGCTTTGCAGTGAGAAACAAAACTCCGACACTGACAGGAGAGGCCCATGAGGTTAAACGAAGCATGCACCTTGTTCACACCTAAGAGGTGAGGTAGCCGAACAGGGCACCTACAGACCCAGATGCCTAGGTGAGGCCTCTGTGGGATTCTTTATGAAGCAGGGTTCCCCTTCTTTGGGAGCATCACACTCCGGAAGCACGGCTCTTCAGTCTCCCTTCTTATGGGACATCGAAACTGCCAGTTCGTTTCCAGCACACTTTTTTGGCCTCTCTCCTCCCCACATCTGTCCAGTAAATACTCCCTACATGCTCACTAAGCGCCAGTCCCAGTGCTCAGCAGTCAGGATAGAATGGTGAAGCAGACACAACCCCTGCCCTCCTGAGCAAAGAGAGCGATACAGGAGACACCCCGTATTTCAAAGACATCACTACCCTCCCTCAGCATCTACACGACTTCCATCTGTTTTCTGTTTTTTATTTTGTTTTGAACTCATGCCCTTTCCTCTTTCTTAGTCCAATGCTGATATCAAGGCCTTTTTCTGATTGGGCTCTCCACCATGCAACAACACACATCAAGCTTTCCCACACTAGGGTATTCAACCCACTGCCATGGCCCCCTGACCTCAGGTACACACGACACATCCTCTAAGCTACCACCCACTAACACAGGTCCTTCCCACTGTGAGCACCTTCTGCAGCTACCTGCACTGGAGCATTCCCAACACGGACTGCTCGTCATACCAGGAGCACAATGCCCGAAAGCAACCTCTTCAGAGCCACCGCAGGACTAGCCCTGCTACAGCACATCTGTCCTTCCCACTAGTCCATCAACTCTTGCATGGCCCTTTTGTTCACCACTGTATCGCTAGTACCTAGCAGCTCTGACCTCAGTCCAGTCATGCCTGAGAAATACGCTCAAGGAATGAATGTTTCATAAAGCAACAATGTAAAAAAACTGTATTTTCCACTATTGGACAAATGGTGCAAAAGTTTTATGCCACAACTGGATAGAAACCTATCCTTATGGGGGCGCCTGGGTGGCTCAGTCGTTAAGCGTCTGCCTTCAGCTCAGGTCATGATCCCAGGGTCCTGGGATCAAGCCCTGCATTGGGCTCCCTGCTCTGTGGGAAGCCTGCTTCTCCCTCTGCCACTCCCCCTGCTTGTGTTCCCTCTCTCGCTGTGTCTCTGTCAAATAAATAAATAGTATCTTTGAGAAAACAAAACAAAAAAAGAAACCTATCCTTATGTAATCTATTACTTCTTAAGTGGTAAATACTCAAATCCAAGTCAAATATTTGGGACTTCACACAATTTTAAGCAGTTAACCAGTATTCAAGTAATACTCTTAAGTGACAAGGGATGAAAGAATGGAGACACATACTTAGGAGCTGATGACACGACAACTACCTCGAGTCCGCAAGGTAGCAGGCATATTCCATGTGCCTTCTTGAGCTTAATCAAGACAACCCTATGAGGGTTTCACAGAGAAGAAAACCAAGGCAGAGAGAGGTTCAGTAACATGCCCACAAAGACAGTAATTAGAAACTGTTCTAACATCAGCAAAAACAAAACATTACGGAGAGTTCATTACCTTCTTGTAATTCACATGAAAAATAACCTGTCTTGGTTGTATTTCTTTAAGGTGTGGGTCTTCTCTTGCAGTCATGTGGAACTCTAAGCGTCCATCAACAACTCAAGTTTCACCTGCTTGACTATGTGTCTTATTTTTCCACTTTTGAAAATTCATGGCTAAGCAGTGGTTGTTATTAAAACCAAAAGTGAGCTGACCTTAACAGCGATGCCCTAGAGCAATTTTATATAAATGACCAACACCACTCACTCTTTCGAAGTACAGCATCCATAAATTCTGACACTCCTAGGAAACTCTACCCCCCAACACTAGGCTCCATTGAAAAAAAAAACAAAAAACCAAAAACCTAACAATTCATAAATCTGTGTTTTCTGGACATGAGAAAGAATGGTCCCGTTGACAAGTTACTGAGTAGGAATCAGAGTAACTAGTATCAGAGAAGGGGACAAGGGAGCTGGGGAATATAAAGTAGGTGAGACATTGAGGGAAGGGAACTTTCAAACTTTTTATTTCAAGTTAACACGGACTATTCCTAGAATTGCCACCAAAGAAGATTAATCATTCAGAGCAGTCCACTGGCTCTTTATCTGCAAAATGGAGTAACAGCCACTACCTAAGACTAGTATGAAAAAAACGTCCGGACAAGCACTTTGAGAAACGAAGTTGTGAAGAGAAAGCACCTGCATTAAATGTACTCAAATCAGACCACCACCCAGGCATATGTCACAATCGAAAAGGACACGTGTATCTCACGTAAAGGGCAGCACCAGGGCCCGTGTGCGCACTACATGGCTGAACCAAGCGTAGACAAGGGCAGCTGACTGGTAATCACACCTGCTTATGTAAACAATTATGTGCGTATTACTTAAAGGCCTAATTTTGTAGTGTTTTGCCTCCACAACTACTTAAGAAACAAAAGCAATTAACTTGAATGTAACTCCTTTTGGCAAAAGTCCCAAATGTGGGAATGGAAAGGAGGTTAATGAGTAATTCCCTAAGTTATAGGGTTATGTTTATACTTATGTTCATATAATTCGCGTTAACATTTGAATCACGTCTATCTCCTTACTACCATCAATCATTTTTCTTGCTTAATACAACAAAAATCACTAATAATAAACTATCATGGGCCACCTGGGTAGCCCAGTTGATTAAGCAGCTGCCTTCACCTCGCATCATGATCCCAGGGTCCTGGGATTGAGCCCCGCTGTCAGGCTCCCTACTCAGGGGTAGTCTGCTTGTCTCTCTTTCCCTGCCTCTGCCGCCCCCCGACTTGTGTGTGCATGTGCACGCACTCTCTCTTCTCTCAAATAAAATCTTTAAGAAAAAATTTAAAAAAACTATTATCAAAAAGATAAGAAACAGTAAGTGTTGGTGAGGATGCCGACAAGAACAGTAGTACACTGTTGGCGGGAATGTAAACTGGTGCAGCCACTCTAGAAAACAGTATGGAGGGTCCTCAAAAAACTGAAAATAGAAACCCATATGATCCAGTATTCCTACTTCTGGATATTTACCTGAAGAAAACAAAAAAAATACTAATTTGAAAAAAAATATCTGCACTCCATGTTCACTGCAGCATTATTTACAAGAGCCAAGATATGGAAACAACCTAAGTTGTCTGTTGATGGATAAAGAAGATGTGGTATATATGCAATGGAATATTACTGTCATAAAAAAAAGAATGAAATCTTGCCATTTCCAACAACATGGATGGAACTACAGTGTATTTTGCTAAGTGAAATAAGTCAGACAAATCCCTATGATCTCACTTATATGTAGAATTTAAAAACAAACAAATAAACCAAGCTCATAGAACAAACTGGTGGCTACCAGAGGTGGGGATGGGGGTTGGGAAAATGTGTTTTTGTTTTTCGTTTTTTGTGGTGTGTTTTTTTTTTTTTTTTTTTAAGATTTTTAATTTATTTGTTAGAGAGAGAGAGAGCAGAAGCAGGGGGAGCTGCAGGCAGAGGGTGAAGCAGACTCCCTGCTGAGCAAGGAGCCCAATGTGGGACTCGATCCCAGGACCAGTCCTGGGATCATGACCTGAGCCAAAGGCAGATGCTTCACCAACTGAGCCACCCAGGCGCCCCTGTTTTTAGTTAAAATAAACGGAATTTATAAACTACTGGTTGAGTCAATGAGATTCTGCTGTTAGAAGTATGCCTTTCAATTATACATGTCCAAAAGGACTACTTTAAGGGCAAGACTAACTTCATGTTTGTTGAATGTCTGTGCTTATCACAGACTATCTAGAAAGATGCTCCACTTAGCTGCCTGCTGCAGAAGCATCTGTGAAGCTTTCTCCAAATGAGCAGGGCCTGAGCACCATGGTTGGCAAGTTCTGCAGGTGCTTCTGGCTGACAGGAGA